ATTAAAATTATACGGATTCCAAAAAGTTCAGAAAGTAAAGAAATAAGAATCGATAAAAAATGTCTGACGTTTCTGATGCTGAAGTTAGGTTTAGATTGGATTCAGCACAATTGTATTTAACATATACAAATTGTGACCTTGATCATGAAGATATACTTAATTATGTTAAATTTCAATGTGAAAGTAAAAAGAAGAATGTAAAAAATTATCTTATAGTACGAGAACCTAACCAGGGTGGAATACACGCATATGTTCGACTTGATCTGAGACTCTGCATAAGAGATCCCCATTTCTTCGATATTGATATGATTTGTTATAATAAACTATATCGTTCGAGTATAGAAGGAGTTCGTTCTCCAAAAAAAGTAATGGGGTATCTTATAAAAAGTAACGATTATATTTCTAATATGACAATCGATACTTTAGATAAGGCTATCAATATGGTGAATTCAGGAAAAACTATGGGTGAAGTTGCAACCGAATGCCCAAAAACTTATGTCTCCCATCATCGAGGTTTAGAAAAGTTGAAGGCGCGTGCTGACGAAAAAGAGCATAAATTTAAAGGAAAACCATTTGTAGAAGTCCATTATGGTGATAAAAATTGCGGCAAATCAAGCTATACTGAATTATATTCTGACGATATAGCTTATAGACTTGATGATAGAGGATATTTTGATGGATATGATGGTCAAGAAATATTGATATTTGATGAGTTTAACGGAAGTCAAGTAGCATTAGATGTGTTTTTAAAAATTACATCTGGACAACAAAGACAACTAAACGTTAAAGGTAAAAAGGTTGCAAATAAAGTTCGCCATGTTATTGTTACTAGTAATAAACATCATAAGGAATGGTATAAACAAGATAAATATAATGAGGGACAGTCGGATTGGAGGCTTGATTGTATTTGGAAATATACAAAAAATGGAAATTCTTTCTCTCAAAGAAAGATCGAACGCAACCCATTTACATTTACAAATAAGAAACGAATTCTTAACTATTTAAAAAAAATAGATTATCCAAAAAAATTTCCGGAGTCTTTAAGTCGTGACGAAAAAGTATTTGTTGAAGGATATATGGACATCCCTTATAATCCAAAATTTGATGAAAATTCGTCTGATGACGAGTATTCAGGAGTTGTAGTTCATAATAATTTCTCTGAACATCATAAACGTAAAGGAGATGATGTTAATGGCTTTGAACGCACGAAAAGAAGCAAATTCAACAATAATGATGAGATTTATAAACAGTTCGATCATGAGAACAGGAATCATCCATGTTACAAACTTTTAAAAACATCACTTCGAAAATTATGATGTAATTTGCTTATCACACTTAAGATAGATACGTACGTACGTACGTATGTATGCACGTAAAGACATGTCTGATATATGCTGTATATCAGCCTCCTTATAAACACATATACGAAATCCACTTTATAATCTTTGTAAACACATATACGAAATCCACTTTATTATCTTTGTAAACACATATACGAAATCCACTTTATTATCTTTG